CCCCAAAACCCCAAAACCCCAAAACCCCAAAACCCCATTAATTTAGTAAAATCGATTAATTTGAGTATCTTCAGGCTACAGCTTATCCTACTCTTAACTCTTAGGGAAAGAAGCTATCCTCAAATGTTTCGATCTGTTTATGAACTGGATTTGTATCAATCCAGTTCTCTCATGCCTTTAAGAAAGCTTTCTTTGTTTTCTCCTTACTTTCATCAACCTTATATTCATCTGTTTCTAATGCATGAATTCCTTGGACGCCTCTAAATATTTCATCTGTTGAGGAGATGAAGACTTTCATATCCTGCTTGATCTGCATCAGATCTTGAATTGGTTTTCCTCTTGTATCAAAAAGAGCCACAATCTCTCTTCTCGACCTCATCTCAGCAGTGACATCAGTTAAGAACTGTTTGAATACCTGTTGTTTAATCATATCTGATAATGGCTGTTTCTCCTTCTTGGGTTCCTTCTTCTTTCTGTGTTCAAATTTTCTAATATTTAAAATTTTTCTTACTTCTTGACTCTCTTTGGTAAGAGGCTATTTAGGTAAGGCTGAATGTCAGCCTTAAAAATTTTGTATTTATCCTTAATAATATTCACCCCGTCAGGAATTATGTAGATATAGTGTGGCTTTGAAGACCCTATGCAAATGTTGAGATATTGGGAATGGAAATACTTACGATGAGGACTAGTCACTTCTCCATTATCCAAGGTAGACTTAGTCATATTTAGCTCAGGAACTTGGCCCATTCCTTCTAAATTCTCACTAATATAAGCATTGTACGCTCTGCTGTGAGTTCTGCTTTGAGTCTCAGGCCTTGAGATATTAGATTTTATCTGAGATTTACTCTTCCTTCGTGCAATTATATTTGTGTTCCATGACTTTTCACATTCCGTTTATGACTAGTTGCACGGGCAACAGTAGAATCACTTCTGATATTACCGATATTTATCAAGTTAAGAGGAATAACTGTTTTGGGCTGATAGTCAATATATTGATCTTCTTGTTCAGACTCTTCTTTATTTACTGCCAAATTTTTGAAATAGCTCCTCAGTGCTCCCCAGCCGGATTCTGTTAACTTGAATTGCAGTCTTCGTATCTCTTCTCCTGAAGTTAACTCGTGTATGCCTAATAGAGTTCGTAACTGATTTATAACTCATATTGTTATTAAGCAATGAGTTCCCTGGCTGTTCCAAGTTGAAGGCAGGAACTGCTTTTATTGATGGCCCCTCATTCTCTATAAAATTTATAGCTGAATTTTTATAGAAAGTATTGAGCTTAGTAACAAATCCATTCTACTTACCTTTTAATTGCTGGAGTTTTGGGTTTTGAATGAGTCTCTTTCTACCATAAATAACCAGATTCGGCTGTAGAGGGTGCTCAAGAATTCCTTCGAAATTCATAGTCTTATACATCTTATTCTTGGTCTCAATTGCCTTATTTAAACGAGAAATTATCCAAAGCAGTGCTCTTGAAGTGTGAGAGCAGTGGAAAGGGATTTTTACGATGTTTTGTACTCATTCAAATGGAAATTTTATTTATATAATTTTGGGGTTTTGGGGTTTTGGGGTTTTGGGGTTTTGGGG